CCGATTTTTGAGGGGTTCAAGCTATTTCAGATAAGGAGCGCGAGGGAAGAGATCCGGCGGTACCTCAACGGGCCTAGTTGGCCTATGTGTAACATTCAGGGAGCCGCGACAACCTAACCTAACCTAACCTACCTCAAAAATAGAGTGTTATATAAAAAATGTATCTGTAGTAATATGCATTAGTGCTAAGAAATTTTGTACGAAAGGATTTCCTAATTTAAAAACCGATACATATCACCAAAATCATAAAACTTTAGATTTTGAAATATCAAAGATATATTTATACGTATGTATAAAATTCTTTATTATACAAGATCTAGTTATAAATAACAATTTTTCAAATAACAAAATTTGGAAAAGAAACATTTTCATGTTACTATTATAATTTATATATAGATTAAATCAAATAAATTTTTGGCCTTGTAATTATATCGAATCCATATGGTATAATATATTATAATTTTTATCTCAATTCCTTATATTTTGTACTTTAAGAAATTACTTATCTATTCCAGTACAAATATTTAAAAATTAAAATTTTGTTTTCGATTTTAAGTTTTTAAGTTTTTATAAGTTTTTAATACTTATACACAATAAGAATATAGAGTGTATATCTACATACATCCGCCTGTATAAATTGTGTACCACATAATATGCACATTATAATTATGGTGATACTACACAGACTCTTTGTTGCTAAAAAAATGCGAATACAATACTCGTATTTATATGTGTATATTTATATATATATATACTCTTACAGCGATATAGCAACACTACATTAATTTAATATAATATTATATTTAGCATCATTTGACCTCAATTTCAAAGTAAAAAAAAATTAATAGTTTTAAAAACAACAGAGAATTTTCAAAATTTTTTAAACTTTTATATATAAAAATATAAAAAAGAATAATTTCAACTTCAATTAATTTTCTTTGGATAAACATTTTTACGTGAAATGTAAAATTTTTAGATCTTAATAGTAATTATTATTGATCTATGTTCTATTAACACGCATTTGTTATACAGTTAGTTCTAGAATGAAGATTTAAATAGAATCTAATAAAATTTTGAATGAAATCATTTTTATAATATTAATAGAAAATTTTAATTAATTTTATTACGATAATTAAAAAAAAGAAATTAAAATTATTCATTATCTTATACAATATTTTTAAACAAACAAAAAAAAATTTTCTATTTTTAGGCCATTACCTCATATTTATTGTATATACAAAGGCGATATATTTACTATATACAATAATTTATTAATATATATATCACTCATGTCATAACTATTATTAATATTCTAATTCAATTTAACTTTTAGATTGCCAATATTTTAAATATTCTATATATATGTTTCTACATTATTAATTTTTATAAAAAAAAAATAATTAGAAAAAATGTTATATTTACATAAATTTAACAGGTGCATAATATGGAAAAAATCCTTATGTAACAATATGAAAGCCATGTGAATTTATATTTATTTATGTGTTTAATATTTTCGTACTAGATATACTAAACATATATATGTATGTGTATTATATATAGCAATATTAATATATTGTTTTAAATTAACCCTATTTGGAAGCATCAAGTTCGTATATAAATTTAAAATAGTTGATATACTTTGATCTTTATTATTTTACAAAAGACAATTTTATTGAATTATGAATATAAACAAATTCAAAATAATGTAATTATGCTTTTCAAACTAAATTAATATCTTCCCTTTGTATTTTTGTATTTAGCACCATTCTGCACATTAATAATTTCATATTTAAACCTGCTAAATAGCTATATATTTTTATATATACATGGATATATTGCATATAATCAGGGGTTTTGAAAAAAAAAAATTGCCGTGTCAATGTAAATATATCAGGAGCCGTGGGATTGTAATCAGTCAAATTTTTTTGAACATAGCAAAGGTTAGTTGTTGTCATAACAAAAGTTGAAAAACATTTTTGTCAAATTTTTAAGAACTTATATATTAAATAAATTGTGTCGAAATTTTAAATCCATTTTTTAGGGAGCCTAGCAATAATAACAATATCTATAATAATATAATATACATATTATGTTTAATAATATGAAGAGTCATTATAATCTTATTGATAATATCAGATCCCTAATATAAATTTTTATCTATATATAAACAAATAATCTGCAAATTCCGCTAGCAGATTTATTATTAAAAGATAGAAGAAAAATTGATTATAAAATTCCGCTTTAAAATCTTAATATTAAAATAATGAAATTAGAAACTATCCGGGTATATAATATAGTTAATGGAAATCGATTTTTTATTGGTTCTATACATTTTTGACCATATTAAGGAAATTATAATAACATTTTGTTTGTCAGCTAGAAAAATAATATTTAAAAATTTATTGTTACTTAGCTTTCTTTAAAATTTGAAATAAGTATAATATTCATAATATATGCAATGCAGTCGGTTATGTACTGGTGACCATATTAGAGTTATATTTTAAATAGTTGGATAGTTTTTTGGATAATTTGGGAATTTGTCGATTTCTAATTTAACACTTTATAAATTTACTCCAACTTCATTATGATTAGTGAAGTGAGTTATTTTATATAGAAAAACTTTTATTTTCATCATCACAGAACTTCATGTACATATTGGTACTACAATAGTTGTAAGTAGTAGTCATCATACCTCCAGTCTTATATTTAAATAAATTAAAAATAAATTTAAGTCTTGATCTCATTATAAATTAGTATTACTTTACAGTCTTAATAATTTGAATGTCAATTAACTAAAATTAATTAAATTAATTTGAATTAAACATTCTTAAAAATGATTTCTTAAAAAATATGTATCATATTTCAAATTTTCCTGTCTCACCAAATTAATCGTAAAAATTTTATTATGTACTACAAATAAATTGTAGTGTGTCTAGAATCGAATTTTAATGTTATACATTTTCTAATGAAAACGAATTTATCTGTTGTCCTTGAAGGATATACCACTTTCTTATTTCAAAATTTTTCAAAACAATTTATTTTAGAGATGCATAAACTGATTTTCATATTAAAATTAAATAATTTTTCATAATTGATTGCAGATTGTGATTAATTATAAAATCTACGTCGTTTACAAAAATTCAATTTTAATGAACATAAAATGAATGAATAATTTTTCTATTTTAAAAATTTGATTCCGATTTCTTTTCTTTTTTGTTTTTTATTAAAAATTTAATGAATTTCCTTTCTTTTAAACACCATAAATGTAATATACAATCTAGGCGTGTAGAGATCGCCACACAACATTCAAGCATATATGATATAATTTTTTTTTTTTTTGGTATATTTTCTCTAAACAATTTGTAAATAGTGTGAAATATTAAAGAAAAAATATTATTCTCCATTTATTCTAATTTTATATTCAAAATTTTTTTTCGTCTGAATATCATCTTTTTCATTTAATCATTTCTTTCATCATCATCAATATCAATAACACTATATTATCGTCTCTTAAATATTGAAAAATTTCAGAAAAATTGAACAAGTTGCCAATTGTGTGGGAAATCATCAAAATAACTTTCATAAAAGTTAAAAAACAAAAAAAAAAATAAGTTTAATTTTTGAAAATTTGCCAAAAATAAATAAAAAGAAAAAAAAATAATTTTTTTTTCTTTTGATATATATAATATGTATATATGTGTGTGTGCACATTCAAAATAAGAGCATTTATGCAAAAACAAGATATTGACAGGATTTAAAATATTTCCCAAAAGGAAATTTTTTTCAAACCACACAACTACATATCTTATAACAACAATATTAACTATTCATTAATATTCTTGAAAATCATATATATATTTTTTGAGGGGAAATAAGAAAAATTTATTTTTAGTAGCAATTCTCATCTCAGTGGAGATTTTCTAAGAGATCATTACATTTTTTATATGTGTGTAAATGAATGAAAATTATAGTATCATATGGTACAGTGAGTTTAAAAATTTTTTCAAAATGTTGAGAATAGAATTGAAGTATAAAAAAAAAATAAAGTAAATTTTTGAAATTAAAAATTACAATTTCAATACATACATGCATACATATAAATTTTCTGTTGCTCTATCATTTTATTATTGATAAAATAAGAAAATTTATAGGAATATTGTATTTGTATATATACATATGTATGAGAAATTTTCATTATACAGTTTAATATAAAAGTCATTATCATGCACAATACAAATACAAGCACAATACAAGTAATGTCGCATACAAATATTTGAAAATAAATTGAAAATTTAATTTAGTATAAAATTAAAATAATTATTACAATTATTGTTAATTTTATAAGATTATATTTTTTCAATGTGTATACAGAATAGCAAGTATGCGTTTATATTATATAGGATATAAAATCTAAGAATACTTTAATTTTTAGATTTTATTAAACATATATGTATATATTTAGGATATATAAATTAAAAGAAGGCCACACACTTTAAATTAAAATTTCTTATTAAAATTCATTGGTATATGTGTATGTGTCGACTGTAGAGATGTTAATATTTTTCTATTAAATTTATTTTATTGTTATATTAATTATTATTTATAAAAAAAATGCAAGATTTTTTATAAATTAACAAATTAAGATATTCATAATTGTATAAACTATATTTATAATGTTAATATTTCAAGAAAATATATATCCATACATATATATATATATATATTAGAAAACGTTTTAAAATTGTATTTGTTAAAAGGAGTGCGTGAGTGTTCGAACAAGAAAACACACATATTTATATATACATATGTAATTTTTAACATTAAGGTAGACTATAGAAACAATTTTGGGAAAAATATTCATATCTAAAAATTTTCCTGGTGAAAAAAAATTAAAACATAAAAAAAAAGAAAAACAAAATTTAAAACTAAGACACCTATAAAAGAAAAATTCTTTTTGCTTTTTGGGATACGAAACGATGAAAGAAGAAAAATATTTTAAAATAAAAATGAAAATTATTTTTTTTTTTTGTCTTTTTTCTCGTAAAATTTTCAACTACATGAAAAGTCAAGGGGCGTTAAGGGGCTAAATAATTTGGTCATCAGTGCTTTCGCGTATTTGGTAGCGCATAGTGTATATTCCAAGCGCTCAGGTTGGTTTTCATTTTAATATTCCGTTATATAGGAAAATCGAAAATATATATATAAAATTTTTTTTTTTTTTTTTGGATTTTGTTATAAAAATCTACCCGTTAATTGTTTATAAATCCAATTGAAAACTTATTATTATTATTTTAAAACTAGTTTTAATATTAAAATTTTTAATAACAGTAAATATTTAACAATTTTCTCTATAAAATTTTCAATTTTTTACACTTTTCATTTAAAAAAAAAATCATTCAGTTACAAAATAAGAAAAAAATAATCAGAGAAGAATAGTGATCTTATCTAAAAATAGATTTTTAATTAAAATACGAATAAAAAAATAATCAATTATTAATTTTCATAATAATTTATAATATTCTAAAAATAAAATTAACACTCTATATACTCATATATAGAGTGTATATTTAATTATAATTTGTGTGTGTGTATAATATAATAATTATAATAGTTTGTCACTTTCACGGTCTCAAAGGATTAAAGTAATTTCTTTCCCAATATTAAATTAGCGAGCCTTATCTAACCTATAAATGGATTAAATCATGGATACAAAAGCTACCTAATATTTTCATGGAGTAAATATAACTGACAAAGAATAATAAGAAAAGCATCTGGAATGTGTTACGTAAACTAAAAAATTATTTAAAATGGCTGGATAATGAAATTATTAATAAATATATTCAAATTAATTTAAACATAAATCCCTTAAAATCCGTAAAAATAAAAAAAACATATATAAAGAATTTAAAATTCAATTTATACGAAAAAATTTTTAAACAAAAATTAAAAATTAATTATTTTTAAAATTTTCAAATTTTTTCAAAATTTACTCAATTTTGTTTTTCTTATATGGTTTTTTTTTTTTTTGTTTTTTATTTTTTAATTTTAGTTTAAAATTAAAATTCATGACAAACATATAAGGAATTTGTAATTGAATATCATATTATTTCTTCACGTCAAAATATCTACATTAACACATATCCAAACATATACACACAATACAACAAATAATACAATATCTATACTCATTCATTTTGAATCATCTATACATACTTACATATATCAAACGAAATTTAAAATTAAAAGAAATTAAATTATCAATACAATAATAAAAATATTTTTATAGTATTGGTTAATTAATTTTTTCAGCGAAATACACACAATTACGCACATTTAAAGATATAAAAGAGAAATATGATTTTTAATTTATTATGACGTCAAAATAATCTCAAAACGTATAAATTCTCTTTCTCTTACAAATTCAATATTCGTGAATTCATACACACAAATATACGCATATTATATTATACACATACATTTATACATATTATATTACAAATATACAAAATAGAGAAATCGACTAAAAATTTAAATTTATTTAAAAAAAAATATAAAATAAAAATAATTGAATAAATTGAAATTTTTAAATTTAAATAATATAAAATTAAAATATTTTATCTTATTTTTCAAATTAATATTTTAATCTCTTTATATTTTTTATATTGATGTTATCAATTAAATACTTACAAAAACGTATGACACATCACAGCTTTTTATAACAAGTTTAAGCTTGAATCATAAAAATAAAAAATTTTATTACCAAATTCAATTATAATTAAAATTATTAGCAAAATATTCCCGTAATATGTTTAATTTCTAATAGAATTCGAGAATCAACAAGCGTATAACTAAATCTCATTTTATTGTAATAATTGAATCCAAGACAGGATACAAGCATCAAAAACTCTATTCACGCATTTTAAATTGATCAGCATTTTTGATATTTTCACATTTCTTTCAATTGAATCAAATTCGGCGACGTATATAGATTCAAATTTTTATCAAATTTTAATAAGATGAAAAAAACCTACACAGACCCACAATAAGAAACCAGACTAATGAAAATTAAAGATCAATTAACTTTAATTAATAATAACCGAATCGAAACTCTTAAAAGACATTCATTATTGAAAATAAAGTCTGATATTAAATTACTTTAAAATATTTTTAATTATTTTAAATTAAATAATTAAAAATATTAATAATAAATGTTTTAAATAAATAAAAATTAATTTAATTATTTACATTATTCCTAAGTACCTAAAGTTGTTATAAAATATTTTCCTATTGAATATTATTTATAACATACAGTCGAAGACAATTATATACACACCCTTTAGGGGAGAATTTTTTATGCATACAACCCTATTGTGGAGTTATACATTTCCTACTTAATTAAAAAAACCACATGTGTGGGCTAAAAATGCTTAAACGTATAAAAGAGTTTTGCTTATATGCGCGTTGCATATAAGCGTGTTCGACTGTGTTTGATTATTATAATATATTCTCATTATATTTTAATTTATAAATAGCTTTGCAGGTAAATATTTGAAAAAGAATAAAAATTTTGTTCTATTTAATGCTAAATGTCATAGGTACATACGAACATATATTTCAAATTGTATTTAATATGTAGGTGCATATATGTAAAAATTTCTATATTCTATATTGAGTTTCATGTTATACAGTATATATATATCAATTTTTATTTCGTATTATATACTCCAATACTATGCTTATATTTATTAATATACAATTTATATCTATGTAATATGAAAATCAAAATTAAATAAATATATAAATTCAATTGTTTATTAAAAAAAAAGAAAACAGAAAAGTAATTTTTCTAAATATCTAAAAATAAAAATTAATAAATTATTTGCATAGGCAAACGAAAATAGCACAAATATTTCACACACTATTGAAATATTTTTAAACGCATACATACTAACACATACTAAATATATATACATAAATGAATTAGTTACTACTACCTACACGGAATCAAATTTCTATTTTTAATTCACAGTTTATTATAATTATTTAGATTTGAAAAGAAAATTTAATTTTTTAAGAAAAATTCTATTAAAATATTAATAAAGCATGTATATACTTACTATGATTTTTCATGAGTTTTACACTATGTAGATAACACTATGCACATATAGGTATATTAATTAACTTGTAAGGTCAGTGTTACACATACGCTTTCATTTACACTCAAAAAATATAAATGCAATTTTAAAAAATTAAAATATATATGTGATAAAAAAAATAAAATGCAAATTTAAGCGTCAACTTCAGCAATATATTTTTAATTGCTGAATAATTCAAGGTGACGTTAAATCTGTACTTACTCTATTAGCATATGATCTTTATAGGAAAATTATACCCCCATACATATTACGTGTTTAATTTTCAAAACCATTAAAATAATTAATTTACATTATTTTATTATTTTAAATAGCAATAAATAAGAATACTTAAATTGCAAAATAAACAAATAAGGTTTAAAATCTGATATTTACATAAAATTTAAACTGTTTCTGCTGAATTCAGGACTTTATGTACATACCTGAATTAAATTAAATTTATTTAAAAATTTTATCTTTAATTTTGGTACCAACTCTGTCAGCGGAATTTTAATAATACCATATTGATGCACAATTCAGCAATTGGCATTTATAAGCTGAATTCTGCATTACAACAATATTAATACATTTCCAATCCCAGGAATAATTATTATCTTAATTTTTTTTTGAAAAATGTCAAAAATTTTTCAAATATCAAATCTCTTGCCAATGAATTTTCATTTCATATTCTATAAATTGACCAAATTTTATTAAGATACTTAATAATTTATTTATTTTTTATTTCATTTTAGGTTACTGTTCCACTTTTTTTTTCTTATTTCGTGTATATAAAAGTTAAAAACCCAAATTCAACATGGATGCCATTAAGAAGAAAATGCAAGCTATGAAGCTTGAAAAAGATAATGCCGTTGATAAAGCCGATGCATGTGAAGCTCAAGCTAGAGATGCAAATGCACGTGCTGATAAAATCAATGAAGAAGTATCTGATTTGGGTAAAAAATTAGTTCAAGTTGAAGCTGATTTAGTTTCATCTAAAGAGCAATTGGAAAATTCCAATAAAGAATTGGAAGAAAAAGAAAAATTATTAACTGCTACAGAATCTGAGGTAGCAACATTAAATCGTAAAGTCCAACAAATTGAAGAAGATTTAGAAAAATCTGAAGAACGTTCTGGTACAGCTACACAAAAATTATTGGAAGCTACACAAGCTGCTGATGAAAATAACCGTATGTGTAAAGTACTCGAAAATCGTTCACAACAAGATGAAGAACGTATGGAACAATTGTCAAATCAATTAAAGGAAGCACGTATGTTAGCTGAAGATGCTGATTCAAAATCTGATGAAGTATCACGTAAATTGGCCTTCGTTGAAGATGAACTTGAAGTAGCTGAAGATCGTGTAAGATCCGGTGAAGCAAAGATCATGGAACTTGAAGAAGAATTGAAAGTAAGTTTTGAAAATATATATATAACAATATTTTAAAATTTTTATATAATTTTTATTTTATATATTTTATGTATTTGCTATACGTTAATAATAATTTAACAATATATGTAGGTTGTAGGTAACTCTCTTAAATCTTTGGAAGTTTCAGAAGAAAAGGCCAACCAAAGAGTAGAAGAATTCAAACGTGAAATGAAGACATTGACTGTTAAATTGAAGGAAGCTGAAACTCGTGCCGAACACGCTGAAAAACAAGTCAAGAGGCTTCAAAAGGAGGTCGACAGGCTAGAAGGTAACAGATTAAATGAACCATTGTTTTATTATATTTATAATAAAAATAATATTATATTATATTGTATAAATAAATCATTTAAAATTAATATCATTTTATTTTCATAATTTATAATTTGTTAATATTAAATTTTTGTATAATTAAATGTTTTGCCATAATTATAAATTATAATATGCATAACAATTAAAAGTTGAAAAAATTTTCATATAAATTATATATATATATATATATGTTCATAAACATATTAATTATTATATTATAGTGTGTGATTGAATTATGATAACTAGAATAAATATTAGACAATATATATCTAATATTTTCTGTATATACATAAATTAAAGATTATAATAATAATTATATAATTATGTAAAATATTTTAAATTTTTGCCGATTAGTTTTTGTAAATATACATAATAAGTATGTAGCTGAAATACTTTGTAAATATACATGAAATGTTTTTACTATACATATACATTTTTTACATTATGTATGTAAATATTTAAATTAGGTAATGCAAGGATACATATTTAAAATGAACTTAGAATTTTAACAAAACTCTCATGCACAATATTTCTTATATTATTCCTATAGCGCAGAAGAATTCAGTGTTAATAAAATTGAAATAACCTTTTCGTTATCTTGAAAATTCTAGAACATTGTGCATAGTTTGTTGAAACTAATATTGCTATCTATATTTAAGATATCTTTAGTTACCTTCCACTATTTATTAAGAATATTCAAATTTTCATAATTTAATTAATAATATTCTTTAATAAGATTTTACTGGAAAAAAATCAATAAATTATCTACAACCTATATGTATACCTGTCTGTATTGTATGTATGCGCACATTCTACATATTATTTTACAAATAACATACATATATCACATTTCAAGTATACATACTTAGTTTATGCTGTAAAAATTTGAAAATTTTTTCTACTTTTATTTTTGCATTTATTTATAAATAATATTTTTTTTTTTTATATTTTAAATTAAATTATAAAACAGAAGTGTCAATATATCGCCAACTAATGCATTTTAATAATATAATTAAAAAAATTGTTTTTTTTTTGTTTTTTTGCTTAATAATAAAAATGGCTTCAATATTACAGACCGTTTGTTCCACGAAAAAGAAAAATACAAAGCAATCTGCGACGATTTGGATTCAACATTTGCCGAACTTACAGGATATTAAAAACTTTCAGTATATATATATATATATATATATATATATGTACTTGTATATATGTATATATATACATAATAATTACAACATCCCTTAATTCACCCATATACACATATATATAAATATATACATATATATATATATATGTTTATATTTATTTTCTAAATTAAATTTCTTTATCTCGGACGTATTATATGAAAAAAAAAAAGAAAAAACCAAAATAATAAAAATGAAATTATTTAAATTTTTTTATTGTAAATCTCATATTAAAAATTATTGATGTTTTTATCAATTTTAAAACATAACCACACACACACACACACAATTATACAAAAACACTATACTACCCAAAACAATCTCTTTCATATACATTTAACCTGCAATATCACTTTACATACTATATTCTTACATTATAAATAGTTCACTAATATTATATAGCGGTTATATTATATAATATTAGTAGAATTAAGATAATTTCGAATTATATATTTTCTTTATTTTTAATAAAATAGCGATTATATTTATATTATTTTTTTTCTTTTTAAATTATTAAATTTTTCAATTTAAATTATATATATATATAATATACATACATAGTTTGCGTGTTGTTGTGTGTAAATTTTTTTTCGAATTTATTTTAATTGCAATAAAAAAAAAATATTTTTTATCAGATCAAAAATAATTTTTATATATAGGAAAAATAAAACACTTATTTACAAAAAAAATTGTCACCTAAAATTCGTTTTGAGAATTTTTGACCATTTTATTTTTGTCAACATTTTTATAATATCATTTATAATTCTCTTTTCTTTCAATATATACCCGTATATAACATCATTATAATTTAAAATAATAAGGTATATAGAAAATATATACATTTTTTTCAATTAAAAAACCAAACAATCAATTTTGTAAATATTTATCATTAATTAAAAACTATTTAATTAAAACAAAAAAATAAATTATTAATTGTTAAAACATTAATAAAGAAAAGAAAACGTAGCTAAATAAAAATCACTCAAAATATTTCGTAAATCTTATTCTATATCGTTATTGTTCATAAAATCAAAAATTTATATAAGTAATTTATTATTAATATCAAATTAAGTCCCTTATACAGTAAAATTTTACATATATATATAAAAAATAAGAAAGTTTTTTTTCTTCCTGCGTTCTATTTATATATTTACACATATATATTTTTACAGATATACATATGAAAATATATGTATTAAATATTGTGTTTTTTTAATTTGTTTCAAATATTAAAAATTAATATTACTTGGAATCATGATATATATATATATTTATACGTATATATATATTTTGTCAATTTATTATTCTTTATTTCTTATTTACAAATATTAAAAAAAATCATTTTGTGTATAATATTACTCCTATATATATAATATACATATTAAATTAATATAAATTATAATTAATTGTTAAATTATTGTTTTCATTTTTTTTTTACCTAATTTATTAATATTTTTTATTGACATTATTAATTTATTATTAATAAATTATATATATTTTATAGGCCAAAATATTACTTTTTTTTTCATTTTATACACAAATATACAAATACATATACATGTACATATACATATACATACATATATCATTAATAACTTTTTTTAATATATAAAAATATTATAACAATTAAAATTAAAAAATATACATTAAATGCTTAACAAAACAATTATTAATAACATCAATAAAATGTATAATTGTATATTAAATAAAACTAAAAAAAAACAACTATTATGTGATGTATATTAAAAAAAAAAACAAACGAACAAGAATTTTTTTTTTATTTTTTATAAAAAAAATGCCTTCGCTTCGCTAAAATTAATTTATATAAAAAATATCTAATTAAAAAAAATATACATATAATAAAAATGTAATATAATTAAATTAATATTATGAACAACGCCGCCTATTTTGAGTATATATAAACTACTAATACAGCTTTAATAAATTATATACTACTTATATATAATATTTACTGGCCGATAAAACATAATATTTTTTTTTGGAAAAGGTGATTGTTTTTCTTTTATTTTAACACAATATTGTAAATATACTTTGTAAAAAAAAAAACAATAAGAATAAAAATTTTTTTTCTCTTTATTAATATATATTAAGAAGGTTGATAATTAATTAATTGGAATGCCTACATTATTTATATAATTAAATTATAATTATTTTTAATAAATTAGTTTTAATAATTCGACATTTTGGAATTTTAATTCAGATGTAAATATTTATTTTATCTTTAATGCATAATATGTAAAATATTTAATTTGTAAATATTGTACATACTTATATATTTAATTTATACTTAATTATAACTTATATTATACTGATTATAAAAAAAATTACACTAAATAGATTTTCGAAAGCTTAAATTCATGTTCAAGTAAACTCAAAAATTTTTGCTCCAATACGTACATTCCACTCATTTGCTTTCACAATCTAAAGGAGAAGAAAAAAAATCGTTTAAAAATTAAATGGTAATAAAAAATTTTATGTAAAATATTTACCATGAGTTCTAAAAGGCAGTAAGAAACAAACTACAAAACAGTTATTATAGTTAAATTTTGGGTCGCATTTAATGCGACAGTGAAAAATTAATATTTAATATAATATTTATATTGCTTGACAAAAAAGTACAAGCAAAATATTAAAGATTTTGTCAATTGAACTCTCTAGATTTCTATACGTATTAAATACTCCAACTATACATTTTACAAAATTCTTAAAAAATTTTGAATTAGCAGTTCATTGCAGTTTTATACTTTTATACTGCATTTTGAAAGTTGCATAATAACTTACAATAATTAGTTAGATTATTTTTTTTAATTTAAATCCATCTTTTATCAATAATAAAATTAAAAACACTATTACTATGTATATATACTTAGAAAAATTTTGGTTGTTCATAAAGTCAAATAAATTTACATCTATGTACATATATTTAAATGTTTACCCTATGATATTATACTTAAATATATATACTGTAGTACTGTTGCATTAAACAAAATAGTACTGCACAACAATAAATTAATATTTTTGATTTTCAATTACTTTGAAATAATTTGAAATAAATTCCAAAATGTATATTTTTTTCTACATGATTTTATATAATGAAATTGCATTTGCTTGCTTTATCATAAAATGAAGTAAAAAAAAACAATTGCTAAATTAACAAAATTTTATAATAAAATTTAAATCAACCTTTTTTTTTTAAAAAAAACTGTAATAAGAAATAAAAAATTAAAGAAAAATTTATTAAATTGAATATATTTTTAATTAAAATTATATTTATTCAAAATTATAATTATTATTATAAAATTATAATTTCGAATTTTACTAAATTTATTTATTTATTTATTTGTTATAATTTTTATTTTTTTTTTTTTATTTTTTTATATTTCCATTTTACATAGACGAATTGGGCATCAACAAAGACAGATACAAGAGTCTTGCCGACGAAATGGATTCCACATTTGCCGAATTGGCCGGTTATTAGAAGAAAACAAGGAACAACAAAAAATTCGTTTATTCTTTTATCAGATATGTATATATATATATATATATATGTATCTATATATATATGTATGAATATATACAATAAAATATTAAATAATTAATATAGAACATCTAATATTTGTATTACATGTATATATGTATATACATATATATATATATTATATATATGCGAATATATATATATATCAGCAGTTTTATACTTCATATATATGAAAAATCAAATAAAAGGAAAAAATTAATGAATTCTATTTATTTAAATATTATTTGCAAAAGAATATTTGAAAATCAAAACAAAAAAAAAAAACAAACATTTTTAATTAATTTATAAATTTTTTTTTATTTTAAAAAACACACAACAAAACGCTCTTGGCGGATCGTTTTTCTAAAACAAAAAAAAAATTGTTGTTGTATCTTATATTATTCATCTTTTATTACAACCATTTTAAATATACACTCACACATTTGCATAAAGTATAAAATTATTTTTATTATTTTTTTAATTAAAATATTTAAAAAAAAAAAAAAACAAAAAAGAGAAAAAGAAAATTGAAAAAGTAATTTATTTTTTTTTTCTTGTGTAAAATTTTATTCTATATAATATATACTTACAATTTTATCTTAGTCCTCTTATCACATTATATCACAATGTTATGCAGCATCTTCAACCAAAGAAAAAATTCGATGCATATAATACATATATATATATATGTATGTATATGTATGTATATCATATATATTAATATATTTAAATTATATATGTATATTATGTTCATAACTGCGGGTACATCCATTGATTAGAGGAATTTAAGTAAATACTGTATATATAGATATGCAATATCTAATAGAAGAGCTTCCATTGTTTATCTTCACATAATATATAGTTATATAAAAAAAAACATAATAGACCTAATAGCCTAAAATCTTGAAAATTGCAAAGAAAAAGGTAATATTTAAAAAAAAAGAAAAAAACTTAAAACAAAAATTTAACAATATAATTTAATATAATAAAAATATAACTTTAAATCAAAACAATAAAGTAAAAGTTAAACTTTTATTATATATCCAACATTATATATACTTTATATAATATTATTTAATATTGTATAAAATATGTTTATATATTATAGTTGTCTTGTCAAAAGAGTTATATATTTATTTTTCATCAATATTTTTTTCTTTATAAAATAAAATATTTAAAAATCATAAAATAGTTAAATTGAAAATAATTTTTTTTTATATATATTAATAGATAATTTCACTTTCTATATATATATATACATATATAACTTGTGTAGGTTTAGGAAAATTTTTAGCAATTTTATATATTATATTATTTTTTGCTTATTTTTTAAATAAAATATTAATTTATATATTTGTATGAATAATCAATTACATATGTTGATATAGATATTATATATATATATATATATATATATATATATATATATATATATATATATATATATAAATATTATCAATCTATAAATATTATGTAATTTTTTACATTTATAAATTTTTAAAATTTTATGAACAACAAATAAATAGTGTGCGTTTTTTATATATTTGGAAATATTTTTTTTTAAGCAAAATTATATATGCATATTCTCATCTAAATATATAACACATATTTGTATAACATATTATAATAGTTTTTCTTAAATATACCAATTATACTTATTTATGAATGTATATATGTTATTCTTATATACATAAAGTTTCAAATTTATTCACGGGTTAACTTTTTGTTTACAAAAAAATATGGTTTTTGTTAAATATTTTAATTAAAATTTGTTTGTTATAATAACTAATATACGTATAATAGGAATATAATATATTCATATATAATATAAATATATATGCGTATGTATTTTGTTTTTTGTTTAACTATATTCATAATATGAATGTTATATTCTATTTGTTTTGTTATTTAATATCAACATTTTAACATTTTATAATATTAAGTACTTTTTTGTTAATTTTTTTTTTTTTATTTTTCATATATTTAACCACATTTTCTATATATTACCATTATATACATACATATTATTTACAAAAAAAACCTTATAATATTTATGTATATAATAATATAAACAAAACTTTAAAAAAAAATAATAATTTTACTAAATATATTAATTTAAAATATATTAATATAAATTTTTTTTTTAATTTAAGTATAACAATTTTTTCAAAAAAAAATGCTACTAACTTCTTATATATATTTAGATTTTTATTATTATAAACATATAATTTTATATATTTAAAAAGAAAAGAACAAAAGAAAAAAATTTGCAACAATATTCTTTAATAACAAAAAAAAAAAAAACAATTTAATAAAATAAAAATTAATATGGGGGGAAAATATAAAACTCAATTAATTTTTATTACAATAAGAAAAAATATTTAATTTAAAATTTGCTATAATAATCAATCAGAAAAATATAATTAAAAAAAAATTTTTAATTATATGTTATTAATTATACATATTTGTACATAAATATAGAATGTTTAATGTTACATAAATAATATTCTATATTTATTTATTAAAAAAAATTATTAAACATTATATAAACATCTTTAACATATATATAACGATTAAAATTTATATAAAAAATTCATTTTAATTATCTTATTTTTAATCATATTTAATTTCATATATATAGGGAAATAACGATTACACATATTGATTAAATTTTTATAAAAATAAATTTCAATTTGAATTTATTAAAAAACTAATATTAAAAATATTATTTATTTGTTTTATTATTAACTATTTTACTTATTTACTCAATTATTTATTATATAATGTATATATAATAAATAATATACATTAATTAATATTTTGTATATCAACATTTTATATATTCGGTATCAAAATAATTTATATATTAAACATTATTATGTGTTTTCTTTTATATTTTAAGTATGTTAAATTATAAGATTTGCTAAAATTATTTTTTTGTTTTGGCGTGTTAATATATTTTATACACATTTACATTAATTTTTTTTTTGATTCTATAAAATTAGATATAACAATTTTATTAATATTATTTGATATAAAATTTTTATCATATATAAATTTAATAATGAATATGAATTGATTTTGAATTCTATTAATTAACTATTAAATATATTTATATTAATATTTAATATTTAATAACAGTAAATATAATTAATAATGTTATATTAAAATTTAATATAACATTTATATATATATATATATATTAATATTTAACACTTATTTTATAATATTGTTTATATATTGTAAAATATTACTATTTATTTAGAATATATACTTAATATCAAAAAATATGTTATTATATTCTCTATAATACTATAATGTATAAATATTCATATATACTTGTGTTATATATGAATATATTTATGCTTAATATATCATTATTTATGATAAAGTTATCAAATACATTATCAAATTTTATGTATATATTATATTGTATAGCTTTATCAATTTTTTAACTAAATTTTTATATAATAACAAACAAATAAGCATATTCATATGTCGTATATTATATATCATAAATATTAATTATATTAATTGTCTTACAAAATGAAATTGAAAAAAAATTTAAGAAATTAAATAATTTAATGAAAAACAAAAATAAATATTATTAAAAAACATCTGGGCATAAAAAATAATTAAAAATTACAATAATTTTTTTAGGATATATAAACGATATATTAATATGAATTTATATAAAAAAAAAATTATTAAAACTTTATTGTAGTAGCTTACCTTAAAAATTGAAAAACTAACTAACGTAAACAAAAAATATAACAAAATCTTTAGTTTTAATTTTTTTTTCTACTTACTAATTTTTGTACTTTTATTAATTTTGTGTACTCTAAAATTAATTATTGAGTAATTTTAGTCTGCAAAAATAATCATTTTAAATTATATTAAAACCGTTTTATACTCTATTATAATATTATAATGCTATATACTTATATATATATATATATTTACATATATATCAATATGCACGCACCCTTATTAATGTATGAATTATATATTTTCATTATATATGTATGTTTCATACAAATATATTGTTATTTATTTTATTTTTTTTTTAAATATGAAGCATATAATTATTTTCTAAAATTATTTCGTTACAATATGGTTTAATATAATGGCAAAGTTATAAAAAACAATTAAAAGAATTTTTTTTCATGATATTTATGTATATATATATATATACCTATATATAAATATATATAAATATATATATATATAACTAAATTATTTAATATAATTCAACATCAAAATGTAAAAAAGGTTTTCGTTATAAATAAAATCTTGATATTGAAAAAAAGAAAGCAAAACAAAACAAAAGATAAAAAAACGAAAACTGGAAACAAAAAAAAATATTATTTTTTTTTTCATTTAAATTCTATTATTTAAATGAGTAATTTAATAATTTTTAAATATAAATATTTAAAAAATAATAATATTAATATGCAAATAATATGGTCTATGCGCGAGTAATTCAAAAATTTCTTAATATGACACTCACAAAAAAAAAATTAAATTAAATTACATCAGTCCCGTTATATTAATTAATTTTACTTTATAATTATTTAAATTTTGTTATTTTATAATTGAAAATTTTTCAAGTTCTACTTCAAGACCAATATTATATTAAAATCAGAATGGTATATGTGACTTATAAAAATTTTAATCCAAATTTATTTAGTTAAAACCCTATATTAATAAACGAGAAACCTCTTTCATATTTCATCAAGCGAAATTACTCTTCTTAAATTAAATTAGACATGATATTTTATGAATAAAATCGAAATTTGTGGCAAAAAAATTTTCTTTTAGAAATTTTAACATTATACAGAATAGATAAAGAATAGGTAGAGTTAACCGTATAAATTCAATGACACACGAATGAAGAATTCTAAATTTGTATGATATTGTCACACCGTTTTATACGGCCTCTTCTTTTTACAAATACCATATAGTGCCATATATAAAGTAGCAACTTTAAAGTCTATATAATATCAAAATTAGGTATTACGTTTCTAAACAACTTCTGAAGTTGTATGGCAGCTAATACAAGAAGTTAAACGATTTCAAAGAGTCTTATCAAACAAAATTACATATTTGTCCTCTAATATAACTTCTATAATATCTGAAATATAGCCAAATAACTTTTGAACTTGTATGACAGCTACCAGAACCGCTGCTTCGATCCAATCCATATGAAATAAGTTTCTG